GCTTGTTGTTTGTCGTTTCTCCGATCACAAATGCAGACATGGTTTCAACGCAACGCGTAAAAAGACAGTATAAGTCATTATAATCTGTAATTATGTCCCCACTGGATGCAACGAATGCCTCGTTTATAATGGGTTTTAATGTTTTTGTCTCGTCGCTCCGGCCGGACAGGGCATCACAGTATGGTAAGGGGCGTAACATTTCCGTCACACGCTTGAGGTATTCAGCCAATCACAACGCATTGGATAGCTGGCCAATCAGAACACACCTCGCTTTTCAGACCGATGAGCTTTGTAAAAATCGACACGTTTCAGAAAGGCGGGGCATAGAGGAGAAACAATAATGTACAGTATGTGGAAAATAATGTGTTTTTTGAACCTTAAACCGCATAAACACATTTCATTACACCAAATACACAAAATAATGTTCTTTTTAGCAACATCATATGACCCCTTTAATATTAACTTTTTTTTTTAATGAGATACACAGATGACTTGTGCACAGTAAGACCAAGAATGTGTATTTACAAGTAATTGGAGACAATGTTTATTAGACTATTGAAAAGTCATACTGACTTAAAGATAGGTAATTAAATAAATAAATAAATACAAAATACAAATTTTCAATAAAATACCTTATTTAAATATGTGTTTCAGAAAAAAATAAGCCTAATTTAGACCATAAAGGTATTATTATTATTATTATTATTATTACTTTTATTGTTATTATTATTTTCCGTTTTATTATTATTACTACTACTATCATTATTTATTTTCAAGAAAATAATCTCTTAAATTTAACATAAATATGTATATTGTGCATAAAGAAAATGAAACTTATTTTAGACCATAAAGGTATTTTTATTTTTGTATTACTATTAGTTATTTTTATGAGAATAGTCTTAAATTTAGGCTTAATTTTCTTTACCCAAAATATATATATTTTGTCATTTACTTTTGATTTTGGTGTGAAAAATCAAAGTAGTAAAAAAATAAAAATGAAAGAAAAAGCTATGAGCCATATTATATTTTTTTAACTTCTAGGCTTTGGGTTTTACTGCTAACAGCTCTTCTCAAGCAGTTTTGTTTATAATCTTCATATTTTATGGGTTGAAGGAAGGTAGTGGTGGCACAATTGAGTTTCCAGATGATCTAAAGCTGCTGTTTTGTTGTACTTTCCGTTGATGTAAAGCAGTGAATTAAGAGCTTCAGGTTCAACAGATGAGAAGCTTAATGATCTGTGATGCATTTTACTATGTTTCTCTCTCAGTGTCCCTTAAGAGTATAATTTGTAGAGTTGATGTTGCTGGCTGTGTAACGATGAGTGTGGAAGTGTTCGGTCTCTCCGGGTGTTGCATTGTGGGTTTTATCCTCTGGAGCCTCCGTCTTATGTGCTGGAGATAATCCAGTGTCCTCGACACATCCGATTCCTGAGATCAGTCACATTAAACTCCACGATTAGAGAGCAGAGATGGAGAGATGAGGGTGAAAGTGTTGGAGAGAGGGATTATTTCACTCTAGCAGACTGAACAAATTTCCATCTCTTGAAGGAGAGCGTGTTTGTGTACTTACAGACCTGTACACTGGATTTGATCTGCTCTTTGTATTTGTAGTTCAGAAATGTGATTGGATAAGCCATTTTCAAAGGCCTTGGGAAAATAGTTGTCAACTAATATGAGTTTTCCAAAACTCCATAAGTTTACTTGAGCTGATTGTGGCTGATGGTTGGTATAATGCTGATATCTGTGATATGCAGTCTTTTATTATAATTATATAGCAGTAATTCTAACTTTTACACAATATTTATTTAATTTGCATGTGCATTATCCATTGTTGGTAGATTTTAGAATATATATCACTCCCTATATGACCTTCAATGCCTTATTTTTTGTGTAAATGGTTAAAATTTGTTTTTATTTTGCTAGAAGATCCAGTCTTCACATGTGAACTAAGGTTAATGATTTCTTTGAGTGTAGTATTTTATTTAAGCTTTTTCCATCAAGACATTTTAAAGGAAAAAATAAAATAAAACATCTTGCTTGTGATGTCCTGAGAGTCAAAGGCAATATGTTTCTGAGTGGTAATGACATGTAAGACTCCTATTCCTCTCTTGCTGTCAGAGTGTTCAGATTAACAGAGACTTCTAACACTCTCTACACCCCGAACCCTGTCCAATACATGTGACGCATCCACAGTGATGTTTATTTTGCAGACAGCACCCAGAGTGCTGCCATTCAACATGAGAAATGAAGTCTCGCTTTGAATTGCATTGCTTTCCTGTTGATTTCATGCACTAGATTGTGCAAAACGTCTTACAGAAACGCTAATTTCAAATAATAAATGCACTGAATAGCATATTGTCTGCCAGGCTGTATTTAAACCTGTGTTTGGTTTGAATCTGTTGAACAGGCTTGAGAGTGGAAGGTTATGTAAGGTGTGTGTGTGTTATTGAAGACTCAGCGTGTTTGTTCATTGTGTGTCTGACCTTTGCACTCAGGCATAGCACAATGCAGCAATTAGCAAATTAATCACACAGCACAACCTGGTAATTATGCCCTTATCAATATGACCATGTTCTCGCTACAGACAGACAAATACAAATCACTCATTATCTCAATAAGTCTCAAGAAGCTCTTTGAAAAAGCTGCTTTGAGTTTCTCTGAGAGCGACTAATAATTCGGCGGAAGTTTATTGCGCTGTAGTTCAGTATTGCAGAAGAGATGCTGTTTATGTGAAAAAGTTGTCAGTCAGATGATGCTTTTTTTCTTTTCTTTTTTTATTGTCATTGCCATCACAACAAATGTTTATTATTTATTTAATGCATTTTATTTTTATGTGTTTTTGTGGATTTTATATATGCCAAAAATAATATAAAATTGATTGTTTATTTATTTATAAAATAAATTAAATGACTTAATAAAAAATATAAAAAGTTTTTGCAAATTTTATATTTGAGGTAATTATTATAAGAAATGCCTTAGAAAGATTTAAAATTGAAATTAAATTAATTAAAAAAATTACTTATACAATTATAATAATTTCTGTATTTCAGTAAATACATTTATTTTATAACAATTATACCAGCCAACAAAATGTATTATGTGATTAAATACTGCACATATATATTTTTCAATAAATATTTGTAGTTTTATAACTTTTAAATTAGCACATCAACAAAATCATCACAAGTTTTTGTTTCTAACCCACATTTACTCACACTGATTCTCTGTGATTTATCTATTTTTCTTAGAACTGA